TCATTAAGATGGCACATCGGCATTTTTCAAAATCAACAATTATAAAACACAAGTTCCAATTGTAATAAAGCTGAAATGGGAAAACAAATGATGCTGTTCCAATTAATTTAATCACGTTTTAAAACTCTAGGTGACTTGGATGAACATCGTCCCTGGAGAGATGCCAACTTTCCAAATTGAAAAAGTGTAATCCTATCGCAGTTCCTGCTCCAGTTTTCCAACCAGTCCAATTTTTTTGGCGCGATCCTACGCATTTTCATCGGAAAATAAGAAAAAAAAATAGTTTCAGAAAAATCCTGTCGTCTTTTCTTTCAAAACAAACACATGTCAACAACTTCTTTCCACGTCAAAGCACTTGTATTTATACTTCTAATTAATTGTTGATTATATTTCCGCATTAACTCTGGTAAGCTTTTATTTTAGTCACTTTTGGGGCAACTTTTGGCAACATTCGTCCCATTCAATCAGCACAAACAATGTCCAAAGATCTTTACCTACCGACCCTATGTAATCGGAAGCAGAGCTATATTTTCTTGGCCTAACTAATGTGACAGACGACGTGTACGATATCGGTACATGTACAGTACAGTACAATGCTGGGACGTACACAATCACATTTCATACGAAGTGCATTCGTGCCTATTCGCCCCCTGTTCATCATACCGTTAATCGGGGCGAACGGATGATTCAACCAAGCTGGTTTCTACCGCTTCTTACACAGCACGTATGTTCAAAACTGCGGGATGCCAGCGACACATTTCTGACGCGCGCATAACGAGGCCGGCTCCATGCTAGCTTACGTAGGTTTATACACAACTGTATGGTTTTGTACCTTCGAGTTGGAAATCGTAAAAGTCTTGGTCGGGATCGTACAGTTGTAAACGGACTAATCAAATCGTAAAAAAATTACGCCTAAATCGTACAAGTTGGTCTGACATATATTGGGAAATATTTTGAGTGAAGGGAAGGGGGTTAGGAAAGGGTAAAGGCATAAGATTCAAGAATTAGCATTCATACTCTGAAGACATATTGCGGTAACATCTGAAAATAAACCTGTCAAATCACACTGGTCGGGAGTGAAACTCGCGCAAGTTGAAAGTGTTTATTGTGACTGCTTATTGATGGTTTCTGAATGCAGAAAACTAATAGTAACAACTTTATAATACTAAAGCTCCACTCCCAGTCAGTATCCGGCATTCTCCTGATGACGAGCAGAGCATACTGCTCGAAATGTCCAGTACCACTGGTTCTTTTCAGAACCGCAAATACTCACAAAAGAGGTACGTCCATGGTGCTACCGTAAACCTACTTTCTATTTTACCTCTTCACCATGCAAACCTTCATGACGTATCAACGTTAGTGCTTGATAGTGGACACCGTGCATAGTGCGCCCCCTAACGACTCACAATTAGACTGTGCGCCACCTCGCACTAACGTCTTGGGAATCTTGCTGCAGCGTTTTAACTTGTTCTTTATTTTTCCCTCGGCTTTCCAAGGGAACCAATCAGCACTCGCTAAATTGCATGCATAATAAATTTTGATGACCTCAATAATACACCATGGTATGGTCACATGCATCATGGCTGTCTGCAGTCCCGTCAACACAGACACGACAACACAGACGTTCGTACAGAGTTAGCAAGGAGTAGAACGGGTGATTCTCAGACTAGGTGAGGCCTAGGATATGACATAATTATAATACCAAGGCTATAAATATTTAAGAAGATCGGACATTTGCATACAACTGCTACACCCCCATTCCTGTAAGATTCCCAAGACGCTAGCGAGAGTAAGTAAAATCTAGGTGTACGAGGGCGCTCTTCAACAGAAATAAAACAACTATCGATCACTGACGTCTTGGGCCAAGACTAGGAGGAATGATACTTATTGTAGTGGCGTCCTCGGGTATTTTCTTGAGACGACAAACAGATGAGGAAAAAGCAGTAATCTGCCCCAAATCGTTAATGCAGCACTTTCACTCTGCAAAGCAAGAATGATTTAACCAAAAAAGATGTAATAAATACACGAAATAGTTATTTTCTTTCCTGTGGTATGGGTCAACTGTAACCCCTAAAATGAAAATGGAAAAGATTTTGAAGAAAACATATGAATAATGAACACAGATCTGTACAATCTTTTAATCACGTATGAAATAAGTTGTATATCTTGGGGCTATTGGCATCACGGGGCCGATACCTCCCCAAACGTCCAGCCTTTTAAATTACGTTGTGGTGAACTACTGAAAGGGGCTGTTGGCTTGAAGGAGATTGGATTACTCGCTAGATACCAAGCCATTCCATTGGGAGACTTAAGCACCTTTTACTAGAGGCTGTTGGCTTGAATGAGGGCAGAAAATCCACTAGATTCAGAGGATGGCAGGTGGATCCACCCTTCACAAAGGGAAATCCATCGCATTTAGGTTCAGAAAAAAATCATTTATTGATAGATGAGGGGGACTGAGGAGGAAAAAGGCACTCGATTGTCTGGCGGTGGTGGGTATACATAATCATGCATGGATCAAACCGGGAAAATTCAGTTATGGTTCCACAGTGCTAAGGTCACGACCCTCTCTCAAGCTTGGACATGTATTGCATTCACGCGGTGCACATGCAGTACAAGAGTGGTTATTGTACAATAAAAAAACTGGGCACAATAGGTACTGCACACAACAACGCACCCTTTCAACCCCACTTGACCTTGACAGACGCCAAGTGCGCTATTCTGTCTGTTCCAGAATTTACTGACTCTTCGTTGAATGCATTCAGTTCCGAAGAAACATACATTTTTTCAACCAAATCGTTGATTTTGGGGCATTTAGGGAAAGATCCAATCCCGGTAAGAATGATTTGGAAACACTAACCCAGCAAGCATGGCTAATTGAAGGCGTTTATCGTTACGAATTTCATTATCAAATCCGACTCTGTCGGTTAGTCTCTTAAACCATGTCAAGTTTCATTTTTTCTCTCCTGGCAACAAATGGCAGCAGACATTTTGAATTTCTTCTCCTTGTTTACAGGTAAGAAATCAACTGCAATTTTGAGGCGGTAACGGAGGGTCCAACCTGTTGAAGGCAGTGCCCGTTTTCAAGCTATTATCCATCCACCATGGCTTCGCTGCGCAGCTTGACGGATGATACAGATCTCTATTACCAGGCCTTTGCTATCTACCGTCAGATCGGCGACGGGGAAAACATTATGGCCGGTTGGGTTGATTCTAAACTGAGTGAGACAGTCAGCGGTTGGAGCGTCAGCCTGAGCGGCCAGGAACCGTTGAAAGTTCTCAGCATCGGACCAGGAGAAGGTAATAAAGGGACACGAAGCTACGCCTGAATCAACACTATTGCCTTTAATGTGTAAAAGATTACCACCTTTAGGGGATGGCATATGCCTTGGAAGAGGACAGAAGCTGGGCCTATACTGATATAATCAGGGTACTGACCTTCCTGTGTGCAATATCTACTCTGTAGATGTATCTGCAAACAGTCAAGGGGTGATCAACACTGTAGGACAAGAGGGTCCACACAGAGTGGGGGTCCGCAATTGGTTGAGGGTCCACAGTTGGAAGATCGAGTACACATTCTATGGGAACCCTCCTATAAACTTCATACATGACCGATGGTTTTTCAAACACATTGAACACTTTGGCTGTCGTAACACTGAGGGGACAATTTCTTTAACAAGAAACTTTTTGACTGGTTTGTGTAGACTTCGGTGTGTCTTCACAATAACTGCTGTTCAAACTTGTGCACAGTCCCTGCAACTATGACACTAGAATGTACATTTATACTGTATGTGGTAAATAGACGGCACTCTATGTGCAATACTTTTAAAATTGGGGACAAATGACAGGATTGATTGTGGTTATGTCACAATATTTGAAGTTTAACAGGTTGCTATTGAGAGGAAGGTTGAAATGAACTAGATGATGGGGAGAAATGCCTTTAAAAGTTTAGCTCTGGTTCTTTGGCAATTACTTTACCATCAAAATCCTTCCCAAAGTGGAGTGGGTCGGGTCACCTAGTTATACTTACCCCTGCCCAGCCTACATATGCAAATTTTTCATTTGCCTAAAAGACTTGGTTATGCATTCTGCCCTTTGACCCTCCAAAATGCACTGCGGTCCCGCCACCGTGTTCATCCTTCTTTTCGAAGTCGTGAAGTCACCGGAGCCAAAGTGGGGAAGGACGGGCGGGAGCAGCTGGGCAGGGGTATCACGAGGAGATCCAACCCACTCCACGTGGGCAAGGAGTCTCCTGCGTTCACATACCCCTGCCCAGCCTACATATTACGCAGAGTGGCACCGTACCCTGGAGGTGGGTCGGCGACTGGAGTGTAATAACTAGGAGAACATAAAGCAGGCGTCGCATGAGTGGACATTCACCAAGTGACCCTAATAAGTCTAGCTATCAACCGCCCGACCAGGAGCAGTGCTGGATGTTGCCTAGACCACTGAGCCCAGGGTCGCTCTGCCATGGGTCATTTCGCTCCGCAGAAAATCTTTCAGGTAGCATTCGGTGAAGGTGGGGGGAGATTTCCAACAGGCCCCCTGGCAGATTTCAGCTTGAGGATCCCCTCTGAAGTATGACCAGAATGTACGGGCAGCCCGAACATCGTGGGCCATGACGTAAGCCTGAGTTGTACATGCTGTGCCGCCAGTCTCGATTGGCAAAGATGATGACCGAGACCATCCATCGGGAAATAGTGTCCTTAGACGTTGGATGAAAGGGTTTCTTTGTGGTGATGAAAAGTAGGGAATCAGATTCCCGGTTCCTGGCAAGATACCACTTAGGAGTCCAAACCGGGCAAGTGAGGTTATATCGGGAACGAATATGTCAGGAGGTCAGACAGTGGGCATCTGGATTTTAGTCAGGAACCCAATGGTTGGGATGAGACGAACCCCGTGAGGCTTCCAGTGGATGTGACAATCGGCAATCGATAGGGCATGTAGCTCGCTACCTTATCTCGATGTAACGACCACCAGAAGGAACGCCAGCTTGATCCTGAGATCGAGGTCAGATGCGTCAGCCAACGGTTCGAAGGGGGGATCAGCAAGAACGTGTAGAACGTTTCTGAGATCCCAGGATAAGATGAGGCGTTTGACGTGGGGACGCTCGACAAGCATTCCTCGAAGAAGCTGGTGGATAGCAGCGTTGTTGGAGACAGTCCACCCATCGCTGAAGCCCAAGTTGACAGCTGCTAAGGTCGACAAATAGGAGCGGGTAGTGGCAACCTGGAGGTCCGAGTGGAACAGGTACATGAGGAAGTCTGTGACGGAGTACACAGAAGCTTCGATCGGAGAAACATCGAGGTCATCACACCATCTAGTAAAATGTTGTAGTCGGCTGCCATGGACGCAGAAAGGCCCCACGCTCTGAAGGATGGTTGGACAACATCCAGCACGTCAAGTGAATACCCTCCGATGCTGGGTGGAGGATCCCCGACTGATGAATGATGTCCTCCCTGACTGGAAGGACCAACGGCCATTGTACCAGGAATCTTGTCAGTCTTGAAAACCACGGTTGGCGAGGCCAGAAAGGGGCAACAAGGAGGAACCATCATGGCTCCCATTCTATCTTGGACAGGACCCGCGGGATGAGGGAGACTGGAGGAAAGACATACGTCAGAAGGCCCGACCAGTCGATCTGTAGGGCGTCTGTCGCCCATGACCGTTGGTGAGGGAACCTGGAGCAGAAAGTCGGGAGATGAGCATTGTCAGTGGATGCAAAGAGGTCGATAAGAGGATGCTTGATCTCCACATTGATCTGGCTGACATGTTTGGATGAAGAGTCCACTCCGTCGGTCTGACGGCACTCCGAAAAGTGCGTTTGCCATGTCGTTGCTGGTTCCGGCTATGTGGATGGCTTGGATGGCTTGATCATTTGTCCACATGAATGCAAGGGCGCAGCGTTGAGGAGAGCGAGTGCTGCCCTGTTGATTGATCTACGCCACTGCCGTGGAGTTGTTGCTCTAGACTTGAACAGAATGACCTACTAGTCGTCAAAAGTGGCGAAGAGTGTTGAACACCCTTTGAAGTTCCAACACATTGATATGTTTGCCCCGGTTGACCAGGCTAGCCATTAAGCCGAGAAGACGGAGGTAGGCTAACGCCGGAGGAGCCTTGGCCGTTAGAAACTGAAACACACTGATGCAGGTTGAGGATGCACTCTGGTATCTGAGTCGCAATGCCTTTGCGGAGGTCGAGAACTGCTCCAAGGTAGGTTGGCCTCTGTGATGGGGTAAGACTCGACTTGTCGTAGTTGATGAGAAACCCCGGACGTATCGTGATGTTTTGGGTGAGGGAAGTGAAAGCCCTGGTCTCGTTGGGGGAACGGCCGATGATCAACCAGTCGTCTTGATATTGGGAAGATGAGAACATTGCGCTGTCGCAGGTGAGCGGCGAGTGTCTAGGCAACCCGGATGAAAACCCTTGGAGAAGTGCAGAGGCCCAAAGGAAGAGCCCGAAAATTGTAGATGTGGCCGCAATATTTGAAACAAAGGAACTTACGGTCCTGCTCGTGTGTTGAGATATGAAGATATGCATCCCGCAGGTCAGCGGAGGCGGCCCAACACGGGACCGGTTGGAAACCCAAGACTATGTTGAGGGTCTCCATCCGAAATCATTTCGGCCTGATGAACTTGTTGAGAGGCTTCAGATTATTGGTCGCTATTTTCCCGGCTCTTCCTTGGGTGTCAAGATCGAAGAATGATGAAAGGAAGCCGGTGGATAGTTGACTTCGGTGTACCAGCATAATGGCTCGTTTGCGTAGCAATGCTGAAATCTCCTTGAGAGCCAGACGCGTGGAATTGTCGTGTGGACGGGAAGTAGAGCGGAAACCATATCGGACGATGAGGAGCTCGTGAAATCGAGGATATAGCCGTTGGCGATGGTGGCAAGGACTCAACTGCCCAAATTGATTTCCAGCCAAAATCCGATGAGATCGCCCAGATGGCCGGCGACGGGTGCGGAATTGGCAACCGTCAAAGGTGAAGGAGAGTAGTCACTGGCACTGCCCTGCGAATGGACCAATGGACCGGGGGCGCGGGGTGTGAACCTATGGCTGGCGGGTTGTGGCTGGAACCTTCTAGGAGCAGTCGAGGGCAGAGCTGGATGGGGGTTCGATGACTGAGCTGGGGACGGAAACAGACGTTTAAAGGGATGGCATGAAGATGGGGACGGGCCTGCCTGTCTTGGTGGCGGTGGTGGCTGCCGCAGTGGAGGAGCCACAGGTTTATAGAGTGAAATTTTCTTGGCAGTCTCCATGCACTTCATCTCCAACTCAAGGACATTAGTACATTTTCAAGTGAACAAGTCGTCCCCGAGAAGGGGTAGATCAAGAAGTTTGTTCTTGACCGACTTGTGGGGACTGTTCATAGCGTCAATAACGTTTGCTATGCAGCTGGAAGTACCTAGGAGTGAGATGTGGGTGAACTACTCAAAGACGGAGTTAAGACCCTTGTTGTGCCCACGCACGAAGGAATGGCTGCAATATAGTCAGGTGAGACGGGAGAGTCCTCCTTGCAAGCCCGGGCAATATATTCCAAAAGAAGGAGAAAGGCCAAACATTAGAGGTCAAAGCGAGAAGCTATATCCAGACAACAAAAAACAGACTCGAAGTTGGCCTTGTCCTTATCCAGGAAGGTGAGGCGCTTACTGGCATCAGAAGAGATCTTGTCTCTAGCGGTGTCATAGATGTCCGGGCTGACAGAAAGCAAGACACATCTTCCTGGGGAAAGTGGTAGTAGCACTGAGCCCTGGATGGCATTGCGCGCCAGCGCTTAGCCTTTGCAAGGACATTCATCATTTCCATGCAGGAGTACTCCAGGGGTATCTCCGGGAAGACCGGCTCAGTCGACTCGAGGCATGAATGCTGATGTTTAAACGAAGTGTTTCCATGCTCTGCAGGTGTAGGGTCTGAAGATGGAAGTACATGTAGCATGTCGCGCTGAAGAAGGCAAAGCATCCCTTGGGTTGGGTCAGGCCATCCACAGAGTCAATGACGTCATCCTCGGAAGACAGCGGTCAGACCCATACAGCCTGGGGCCGTTATTGTTGGAATGCATGCACCACATTGAGAACAGAGGGCTGCCGGCTGGCCCCGTTCAACGGCCATACACAACACAATCCAACAGTAGGTCATGCCCTAACCTATAGATAATGAATACAAAAAGGAACAGACAGAACAACAAAATGCAAAATACAAATGAAAGCACTCTTACCAATAGATCAGAAAATACTTTTTATTTGTACTCAAGAACCAAGCCAATTTACAAACGCGGAAGGTTAGGGAACTTGAAACTCCGAAAATGCCATGAAGACACGTCCGTAAACGAAAGGCGCTGAGAAACGAAGGACGAACTTAGCGGTGGGACCACAGTGCATTGTGTAGGGTCAAAGGGCAGAATGCATAATTAAGTTTTTTCAGCAAACTGTAATAGGCACATGAGAAATTTGCATATGTAGGCTGGGCAGGGGTATGTGAAAGCAGGAAATTGAGAATTTTGGTTTTGGGGAATACAGGTTATACTGAAAGCAGGATTATTAGAGTTCTCCGCAGCTGCAGACAGCCCCATCATATCGTCCATGCGACCATCGTAGAGCCCGCTGCTGAGATGGTGAACAAGTACAAAGAGCGCATTGCTGATCAGGCATCGGAGCTGCCGGACGTGGCTTACGACTGGAGGGTGCAGACCTTGGAAGACTTCCAAGCCACACCCACCAACTACGATGCGAGGTTCCATTTCATCAGTAGTGTGCATTCTATCTACTACGTGCCGGACCTCGAGACATCTCTCAAGGATCTCTACGACCGGTTGGAACCAGGAGGGATAATGCTGATTGTAGTAGTGTCAGGTAGGGTCTCAAGACAACCAAAAAACGTAGGAGAGACGTTACTCTGCATCATGTAACTATAGCGGCACTTTATTAGAGAGAGTAAGAATTTCTTTTTTTTCCTCCGTTTTTAAATTATTAAAGATGACTCTGGTATGGGCCAGCTGGGGAAGAATGATCCACGGATGCATAAAACAAAGGACCAGCACCCAACATCCTTCGACATCCAGGTAGCGTGTGCCAGTCAGGGCATCCCTGTGGCCCAGGAGCTTCGAATCAATGAGCGTTTCAACATCAACCTCTGTCTGTGTGAGCCCAAAGATCTCTCAACGGACGGCCGGTTGCTGCTCGACTTCTTAACCCATGTGGCCAACTTCGTGCGGGATGCCCCTCCTGATCTTCAGCGTGAAGTCCAGGAGTGTCTGGCGAATGCCAAGTACTCGGAGAAGGGAGATGAGGGTGAGGTTATCTTCAGAGCAGACTCAAAGGCCTTCATTATCAAAAAATGAAGATGATAGACAAACAATCTGCTCTAGAAAGCTGTTGTCACAGAAAGGCTTCGAAGTTTAGTAGCTTTTGTATAACCACATATAATCATAATTTCTTGCATATGTTGTCAGTCCAAGATTCCAACTCTTTTTTCTTTGTGCATAATCTGTCTTTAAAAAGTATCTTCAAGTCTAATAGACAAGTGGTAATCTGAATTACGTATGCCAACATCAGACTGGATGCTGAATTTATGACAAATGTAACCTTTTAGCCAATTGATAATTCTGCAATTTCGATGAAATCGTGACATTGATTATGCCTGCCTTTGAATGTTATCCTGTTGTATACTGAACCATTCTTAAGTTCTTGATGAGTGCAATTCTTAGCTAAAATTAAGCAACACTTTAAACCATTAAAGTATCTCAATGAGAATTGGCAAATTGCAGGATATTATACAACATATTCTTTGTTAACAGACTCTACTATTCTTAGCTCTAATCCTCTTCAGTTTTAGATAAGTGGGCATATACTGTTCAGNTCATTCAGATGGCACATCGGCATTTTTCAAAATCAACAATTATAATACTCAAGTTCCAACTGTAATAAAGCTGAAATGGAAAAACAAATGATGCTGTTCCACTTAATGAAATCACGTATTAAAACTTCAGGTTTGGATGAACATCCTCCTCGGAGAGATGCCAACAAAATGAAAAAGTGTAATCCTATCGCAGTTCCTGCTCCAGTTTCCCGACCAATCCTAACTTTTCGGCGCGACCCTAAGAATATCAATAGGAAAATAAGAAAGAAAAGTTTCAAAACAAACACATATCAACAACTTCTTTCCACGTCAAAGCACTTGTATTTATATTTGTAATTAATTGTTGATTATATTTCCGCAATAACTCTGGTAAGCTTTTATTTTAATCACTTTTGGGGCAACTTTTGGCAACATTCGTCCCATTCAATCAGCACAAAAAAATGTCCCAAAATCCTCACCTACCGACCCTATTCAATCGGAAGCAGAGCTATTTTTTCTTGGCCTATAAACTAATGTGACACACGACGTGTACGATATCGGTACATGCACAATGCTCGGACGTGCACAATCAAATTGCATTGGAAGTGCAATCGTGCCTCATCGCTCCGGTTCATAATAGCGTTAATCAGGGCGAAGAAATGATTTAACCATGCTGGTTTCTACCGCTAATCACGCAGCTTGTATGCACAAACTACGGAATGCCAGCGACACATTTCTGACGCGCGCATATAGTTGGAAGTTCGAGTTGGAAATCATAAAAATCGTAGTCTAGATCGTAATGTCGTAACGGACTAAACAAATCGTAAAAATTACGCCTAAATCGTTCAAGTTGGTCTGACATATTTTGGGCTATTTTTTGAGTGACGGGAAGAGTAGGGAAGGGTAAAGGCATAAGATTCGAGAATTAGCATTCATACTCTGGAGACACATTGCAGTAACATCTGAAAATAAGAGGCTGTGCTGGGAAAATAAACAGGCTGTACTGGTACATGGCTCATTTTCACCTGTCAAATCACACCGCTCGGGAGAGAAACTCATGCAAGTTGAACCTACTTTATTGTACTGCAGAAATCTAATAGTGACAACTTTATAATACCAAGTCCAACCCTCAGGAGGAGGTTTGAACTGCTGGAATCAGATGGTGACAATGCATCTTCAAATATTTATTTACAAGTAAACAAACAATTTCCTTACTTACACATAAATGTCTATTACGTGATCCGGTACATCGAAATCAGGAATAAGTCGCTGAGACCGTTTTACGTAATGGCCGAGTAAAGTGGGGACGTGGGTCAAGTTGAAACGGAAGAAGTATTTCAGCATTCATGTATTACGCGTGCTCTTAATCAGAATCTAAATACCTGAATTGAACAAAACTTGGTTTATGAGTGGGGGAAGCTGTAGAGTCCAACGTTGGGACTCGGGTTGAAATGAAGTAGATAATCGGTGAGTTATCATTACTATCAAAGTCTGTAAGGGCGCCTCTAGGTGTATAGAACCCTTTTTTTCTGGTGTATTGAAATTACCATGAGCGCATCACGTTTTCGTGGCGTTTTCGGGTGCTTTCTTAAGATGACAATCAAATGAGGAAAAAGCAGTAGTCTGACTCAAATCGTTAATTCAAACTTTCAATCAGCAATGCAGGAATGATTTAACCGAAAAAGATGTAATAAATACACAAAATAGTTCTTTCCTTCCTAAGGTATGGGCAACTGGGGATTACTCCTAAAACAAAAATGGAAAAGACTGAAATACGCAAACTACACGTATTCACTTGACGTATGTCTTGAGCATTTGGAGACTTCTGAATATCTGTGATCAAGGTAACCACTGTTTAACCTATAACAGTTTGTTCATTGGGCTTCACGGCTCCAGCATTATCTATCCATCTGGTTATGTATATCTTTATGCTATACTCGGAGTCAAAGAGCAGGCACTACTATAGTCTGTGCCAAATCACTGAATTCGATGGCCATTTCGTTATCAAAGTACTTTCCCTATGAAGAACTGTTAAAACAGATGTATAATGAACACAGATCTATACAATCTTTTAAACCTAACTCCCTTGGGTGTGTGCAAAATCAAATTAAAATTGGATGATTCAGGGCTGTTAGGGTTAATCATTGTATGAAATAAGTTGTATAGTAGGGGCTATTGGCATCACGGGGCCGATAACTCCCCAGAAGTCCAGCCTTTACGTTGTGGTAAACGACTGTGGGAGACTGCATGACGCACCTTTTGCAAGGTTGGCTTGAAGGAGAGTGGATTACTCGCTAGATACTAAGCCATTGGCAATACTGTGGGAGACTTTATGCACCTTTTACTAGAGGCTGTTGACTTGAACGAGGGCAGACAGCCTACTCGATTCAGAGGATGGCAGACGGATCCACCCTTCGCAAAGGGAAATCCACTGCATTTAGCTTCAGAAAAAAACATCTATTATTAATTTTAGATAGATGCAATCCTTGAGAGGCTTGGTTTCATGAGCCTTTTTTGACGGTGCAGTAGCAAAATGCCTAACTATGTGAAGGTACTTGACCAGTCACTTCATGAATGTAATCCTAGTTCAGGGGGAAACAGAGTGAGCCCAGTGAATTCCAAACGCCTAAGAGACGAGACACCCTGCCAAAGCAGCACACGCTTAATTTTCTCAGACGAGTGTGTATGCATTTTGATACAACTGTTTAACAATAATTGCTTACGGTCTCAACGAAGACTATCGGTAAGGCCTACTGGGTCTCTCTCTGTGCAACCATCCGGGTGAGACTGAGGGGGAACAAGACACTCGACTGCCTGGAGGTTGGTATTCATGATCATGAATGGGTATGGATCGAACCCGCCAAAATCCAGTCATACACAGTGCCAAGGTCACGACCCTCGCTCAAGCTTGACCCTGTGTACTGCATTCACGCGGTGTACATGCGATACATGCATGATCATTGCGCATGAAAAATCTGGACATAATACTGCACACAACAGCCCTCCCTGGCCCTTTGAACCACACTTGAACTGCAACGAATACGAAGTGCGCTTTTCTGTTTTCAGACTACCTGCTGTCTATTCAGTGCATTCAGTTCCAAAGAAACATACATTTTTCACGCAAAGTATTGATTTTGGGGTATTTAGCGAAAGATCCAATACCAGTAAGAATGATTTGGAAACGCTAAGCCAGCAAGCCATGGCTAGTTGAAAGCGTTTATCGATAAGAATTTCACCATCAAAGCCGACTCTGTCGGTAGTCCCTAATTAACCATGTCACGTCATTTCATTTTACTCCTGGCAACAAATGGCAGCAGATAACTTGAATTTCGTCTCCTCGTTAACAGGGAAGAAATCCACTACATTTTTGAGGCGGTCACGGAAGGTACAACCTGTTGAAGGCAGTGCCGGTTTTCAAGCTATTATCCATCCACCATGGCTTCATTGCGCAGCTTGACAGATGATATAGATCTCTATCACGAGGCCTTTGCTATCTACCATCGCATCGCCGACCGGGATAACGTTATGGCCGGTTGGGTTGACTCTAAATTGAGTGAGATAGTCAGCGGTTGGAGCGTCAGCCTGAGTGGCCAGCAGCCGTTGAAAATTCTCAGCATCGGACCAGGAAAAGGTAATGAAGGGATACGAAGCTATGCCAAAACCAACACAATTTCCTTTAATTATTTTGTAAAAGGTTATCACCTATGAGGGATGGCAAAATGCCTTGGATGAGGACAGGATCTGGACCTATAATGATATAAGCTGGGCGATGACCTTCCCGCGTCCAATATCCACTCTGTACACGTACATGTACAATGTATCTGCAATCAGTCAGGGATGGCGATCAACAAGAGGACAAGAGGGTCCACAGTTGGGTCAGGGTAAACAGTTGGGTGAGGGCCAGTGACACACCAAGGGGGGCTTTAAGCCCATCTCCCATGTTTTCCGTTTAATTTTTGCTTTACAATCTACACCATCTTAACCTACTAGCTTTGACATGGGCCTCAACCCCTCCTAAAAACTTTATGTGAATAACAGGAGGTCCATGACAGTGAGTGTTTAAAACTTTGTTCTGGTTTGCTAAGACTTTGGTGTGTCCCTGCAATGAATTTGTCCCCATAACTGCTGTTCAAACTTGTGCACAGTCCCCGCAACTATGACACCAGAATGTACACTTGTATGTGGTAAACAGACGACACTCCATGTGAAAGGGAAATTGATGACAAGTGACAGGATTGATTATGGTAATTTTATGTCAGAACATTAGAAGTTTAACAGTATGTTATTGAGAGGAAGGCTGAACTTAACTAGATGGCAGGGACGAAATACTTTTAAAACTTTAGCTCTGGTTCTTTAATTAGAAAAATTAGTAAATTTAATTTACCATCAAAATGAGAATTTCGGTTTTTGGGAAAAACAGGTGATATTGAAAGCAGGATTATAAGCGTTCTCC